TTGTTTACTTCACTGGTTTGCACTCTATCTGCCGTGTGCTGCTTTATATATATATATATATATTATTATTTTTTTATTATTTTAATGTTGTTAAATGATAATGTGCAATATTGCCTTGACAATTTAGTGAAAACATATTTTTTAATCAATTTTTCTATGTAAAGAATTTTTTTGTATTGTTTTAGTTTTAGTCAAAGTTAACTATAAAAACCCAGCAAAGGAGCAATGGTTTTTTTTCCCAGATGTGTACCGTATGTGTGTTTAAGGTAGCTGATTTTAAACATTCAGCAAGTCAGCAAGATTTTCTTTAAACTGTTGCTTCACCATAACCAGAAAGAGTAAGTGGATCATAAATATTGTGACCATAAAGATGCTGACGCCTGCAATAGCGCCCTCTGTGGCAATGCTGAGAATGCAGTATTGAATGTGACAACGTCATGCACAATCAAGTTTGCATTGGTAATCTTTTGCTTTCACATGCTTGCCTTTATTCAGCATTAAACAGAGTGTCAATTACCATGAAAAAAAACACCTTTTGTCACTTTTTCAATTAAATGGTACAGTTAATGAATGCCATAGTGTCGGAATTGGCTCTTGGAAACTCACATTGGTGCACCTATAGTCCGAAATGTCTCATCCTCTTTATTTTCTGTCTTATTGAGTGTCAGAGAAAGTTTCTCCCAGGTGGTTGACTGTCCTACTTTTCGGCTGTCTTGAGTTTGGATGTGTACGTGTAAGTGCGAGAACGAATCTATAATTAATTTTCAGAAGGACGAGATGTCGTTTGGCAGGGAGAGACGGGTCTGAGCCGCTGTAATGTCATTTCATAACTCACACAATTGATCTGTACTTTAACACCCAGCAAAACAAACAGACTGGATTAGATCAAGGGGCAAAAAGAAAGAGAGGGATGGCTTCTGCCACTGGCTAGGTGGAGGAGAGGAGAAGTGAATTAGGAGAAGGCTAAATAAAGCTTGTCACAGGATGATCCATCACATCATATGCTATGGCTTTTCAGTTCTGGGTTACACCTAAGAAGCGTGAGGATCCAGGATCGGGCAGTTGAGGGAAGCTTTAACATGTTTTGCAGCTCTTGAAATAATTGAATAAAACCGTTAAAAAGATCTGCTTTACAATTGTCTGCTGGTGTATATGGCATTTGAGGGATAGTTTACCCAAAAATTACGATTCTGTCACTATTTGTCATCCCAACCCCATATGACTTTTTTATTCTGTGGAATAAATTATTTTTTAATAATTATTATTTTTTCCATACAATGAACATTAATGGGAACCAGGGCTGTCGACTCCAAAAAAAGCACCATTAAAAGCATCATAGAAATAGTCCACATGACTTCTGCACTATATTTCAAGCATTGTTGTTATCGTTGAATAAACTATTAAAAAACATTTACGTTGATTGAAATAAAATAAAAAAACATGATTTATTTCAATTAGTTGCCAAGGCAACATTTCTAATCAATATTATTAGTTAATATTATTAGTTGCCAAGGCAATATTTCTCATCTAATGTTGAAATTGGAAAAAAAATAAATAAATTAAAACGGAAATAAAATTATTTATATGAAAAAAACACACGAATAAAAACAGAAAAACTTAAACTACATGTAAATGTTTATTTTCATTTCATTACTCATATATGGCTTGATAGTGATAGTTGCTGTTCATTTTTAGTGAATGTATTCAATAGTGACAGAATTTTTGGGCAAACTATGCCTTAAAGCATTTTCAAGACTGTAATCAGTCTTTTTTTTTTAATATTCATTTCAACTAAACAACAGGAGCCAAGAATGCTGCACTGGTCTTCTTTCATAATCAACGGTGCTCTTTGGATATTTAGAGGTAAATATCAACTGAAAAGATGAATTACTCCAAGGCACTCGTAGTAGCAATAAAAAGCCGTTAATTGACTGGGCTAAATCATTAAAGTTATTAAAAAGGTAGATCCTCAAAACATTTGTACATCCTCTACTCTGCTTTAATGAATTTAGATTTTAGATTAGCAAGGTTCACCATGACAGAAGTTAAAAAAAGGTGGATGACACTCTCTGAGATATTTTAACACTTCTTACAATTTTTAATTCTTTAGCAGGTTGTAGTTCACTTCACATTAGGCATATATAGTGTGTTTGCAGGAAGGAAAGGAAAACTAGGCAAAGAAAGGAAACTAATGATATGTGTCCTTCAGTGATGGGGGACAAAGGTCTTGTTTAGATGCTATCAAAATTCTTTGG